ATTTAAAAAATAAGGAAAAAGTGTTTTAAACAAATTTCTTTATAAATAATTATTTTATAGTTTATAACCTATGCAAATTTCATAGTCACTTATCATAGATAATAGTCACTAGTCTACCGTTCCTGATTTCACTTCTATAGATTAAGTTGCATTCACTTAAAAAAGCTCAGCCGTTTGTACAACGTAAATAGTTAGAAATTGTTCCCATTCGAGGAAGATACTGGTATTATGTATGTATATAAATAGAGAAAGGGGAGCACTGTTGTATACAATAAGATCGATAAAATGTTAAAAATAAATATTTATTTGCCAACTTTACATAGTTGCCCAAAGGCTGTAATACATAGTAATCAAAAAGAAGAATACGAGATACCAAAATTATGGTAATGTTCAGGTTATGTTTATGTGTGGTTATATTTTCATAACAAAACAAAATAGTTTTATAAGAGGTGCTGCCCTTACTTTCAAATTTTGTTAAAAGTTTAGCAAAACAGTCCATATAATTAACTGAATACAATGGGTGACAATAGTGATGATGAAATAAACGAATCGAAAGATGAAATGGAAATAAATTTAACAGGGTTTCTTTTTGGTAATATAAACGAATCGGGGCAACTAGAAAGTGATGTATTTGATTATGATACACAGAAACATTTGAGTTCGCTTGGGAGGTAAGTTACAGCTATAATAGCGTAGGAAATTTTTAAATCAGTGTCAAATATATGTATAACGAACAAGTTACAATATCTATTTAATTTAACTGACATCTGTATATCAAATAAATAAAACGGCACATAAGGCCTTATTCATAAAATAATTCTAAAATGTAACACAAGTAAATAACATATATTGTGCTCATATCACCTAAATTGACCTAATTAAATAATATTTTAGAACTACGTAGTATTGCACAAATAACATTGTTCTAAATGTTTTATTTGTAAAACAAAAGGAAAATAAAATAATTTTCTGTATATGTTTTTCTACTTAGTTTTATGCTCAGTTCTTTGCAAAGTTATAAATTTTGATGTATGATTTTGTTTTAAATACTTTATTCGTTATATACTTGCTCTGATTGTTATAAAGGAGTTGACAATTTTTTACCTTCCTTGTGACACAAAAGTTGATACTTCAGTAGATTCTATAACTTTGTCAGAATGGTCATAATTTGATATTCGATTAGATACCACCCTAATAGTATTATAGTTTACTGACTTTTTTTGCAGGCTAGGATTAGGAAATCTTTTAAAGGAAATGATTGAAGAAGAACATGATTTTCATAGTGATGATTCTCAAAAATCACAAGGAGAGGGTAAATATTACTTCATTTAATATAGTGTTTCNTTCTTAAAAAATATTAATTTGAAAAATGTTATGTATAAATTAGTAAAAAACTGTTGACCTTTTTTACGGAAAAAGTATCGTACATGTATTGTATGTTACACAATTTTCCTCAATATTTAATGCGAAATATGCGTATAAACAAGTAAATGAGCAATTCAGTAGGTAGATCGCAAAAGTTGGACGAGTGGTCGATATCTGAATTTCGCTTCTTGTAAATTAACATTTCGTTTTTGTTTTATTAAATAAAAACTGTTTCTCATCTGTCTAAAAATTACTGATCAGTCCCGTCGCTTATGCTAATTAATTAATTCATTCATCCGGCGCAACACGTTAGATTGCGGATTCTATTGCACGCCTCATATCGTCATTGAAATAATTATTCTATATTCCTTATTAAGAATTATCATTTATTAACACATGAGACTTTACACAAATGTAATTTAAAAAATTAATAAAAAATAACATTGAAATATTTTTTTATCATTTTTTTCGTTCAATTTTTTATGTCTTATTCTTAATGAATATTATTATTTGATAAAAAAAGTAATTATATATACGAGAGAAAAGCCAAAAATCTGTCCGGTTTGTAAAAGAATGTTCCGTATAATAGGTTAAATAGATACACACTGTACTGTTATTTCTATGCATAGGTATAACAAAGCAACAGGTACTGGTAGCTTAATGGCACCAAATAAATCATCCTAATCCAAGCAACATTGGTTGCCTATTTTAATTTTTCTGGGTTAGTTCCCAAAAAAATTAAAATATTTTCTACTTTACATCTAATAAAAATCGGGCTTCGTACTTTTCTTAAGAACACCTTAAACTATCGTTTGCCCGAAATGCAGATTCTAACTCATTACTATGTGGCTGGAATTTATTTAATAAGTTTTAATTGAGGTCGGATAGGACAAAGGGGGCAATTTGACTGCTGAGCTGTCCACAGATGCTGGAGCAGCGGTAGCAGGGTGAGTTTGATTGGTCTGAAAAAAAAACAATCTTTTGGGTGTTTCATTTCCACCAGCCACTAATGCTGGGGGGCGGGCAGTCCCTCCGGACTACGCCGGAAGTTAAGGCGGGAGGTTCTCTTCAGCCTCCTTTCAGGAGTTGTGGGAATGGGTGGTTGGTGATTCAAGTGAAAAAGATGAGAAATAAAGACAGAAAAGAATGAAATATTATCTGTGGAATATTACTGCCCCAACATTTGCCTAAGTGATCCAAGGAAACCACAGAAAAACTTGGACCAAGACAGACGGACCTGGAATTAAACCGACGTCCTCCAGAATGCTAAGCAATGGTTTAAACCTCTCGGCCATGCCGCTCGGGACCTAGAGGTTGTTTGCGGTTTATCGGACAGTGCTGTAGCGTATTTTTCCATCAAAAGGTATAGTTGCTTGTCAACTCACAAATGTAGCATGTGTTTAGCTAAAAAATTGAGATCAGTCATCCAGTCTATTTACGAGACTGAAATTGAGTGGAGATATAACAAGGGTCTATTTACAAGACGGTAGTCTAAACGGGAGAAGAGAAACTCTTTTTTTTAAGGTTAACCTCGAGGTGGGGAAATCTTCTAAAGACACCCCCCAAAAGGGGTGTAGTGTCGGATTCACTCCCGATGGGGGCGCCTACCGACTAAAAACCCTCCCCGAATTAGTAGATCAACCTAGCGGCTATAACTACCGGGAGAAAATGAGAGAAGTTTGGGGAAGGGGAGAAGGTTGAGTGGAAGATGGGTAAAAGAGAAACTCGAAGAGCATTCGTTTATACGGGCTGCAATAAGATCACAAAAAGGCATAGGGACCATAAAAATAATATCGGTCGTTAGCTCGGTGTTCACTGAACTCTCGCAGGTAGCGGTATCATCAAGAAATCGTATTTCTGGTCAATATTTCGAGCCAAATACCTTAATGTAAGACGGTTACTATAAGCGCCTTGTAAAAACGAAATCAAGAGGAAAGCAGTAATGTAGCGTGAATTTCTGCCACCCCGAGCGAAGCCAAAATTTGCCGCCCTTCCTATTTTTACAATTATGTAAGATCTTTTATTTAAATTGGTCGGGACTGCAGTGAATAGGTGTACAAAAAAAACTTATATTTTTAATTTAGCCCTTGTGGAGATTTACAAATAACTGTAAAGATTTCGGTTCTTCAATCTAGATTATACGGGATCTTCAGTATTTTTAATGTCTCATTCTTTCCGTATCTTCGCAATAAGTTTTAATAACTCTCCACGCCCCTCCACGCTACGCCACTAAGAGGAAAGGAACACTTGTAACAGTTTATTAGGGTAATATATCATAATTGAGGCTATAGCTTGTTTGGGCCATCTACCTACTTATGTGTTANTCATAGTGATGATTCTCAAAAATCACAAGGAGAGGGTAAATATTACTTCATTTAATATAGTGTTTCATACAATTAATAGTTTATATTTTTGAAGGTATCGAAGAAAAGTCTCCAAATGGGATAGATTTCTCAGATATAAGTGAATTAGCTGATGACGACGAGGAAGGAATAAAAAAAGTATTTATTTTATTAGTATCTAGTTTTTTATTATTAATGAACAAAACAGCTTTAAGTTGCTTCCATTATTAATAATAAATAAATTCAATAATCATTTGTTTAATTGTAGGAAGTAACTGACAATGAAAAGAATACATCCAACATTGAAATCTCTAATGTACAAGAACAAAATGATTCCCATTTAATGCCTCCACCTCCCATACCAACAACAGAAGCATCATCAGAAAATGTAATTAATGGAAATGCAGATAGTCAATTAGGTAGCACTACAGAAAAAAAACTTGATACTCCTTTAGCAGCAATGTTGCCCTCAAAATATGCCAATGTAGATGTTACCGAGTTATTCCCTGATTTCAGACATGGAAAGGTTTCATGTTTACATTGTTTAAGAAGAAAACTGTAATAAAAATATAAACAATTTAAGGTATTGAGATTTTCAAGACTCTTTGGGCCTGGAAAGCCAAGCAGTTTACCACAAATTTGGAAAAGTGTTCAGAAACGCAGAAAGAAAAAGAAGCACAAGGAAACTAACGATAACCTACATGATTCTGATTCCCAGTCTGATGAGGACATTCATAATCATAAAGGATGGAATTTTAACTATGCACCTACTCCAGCTTCTGAGCAATGGGATTCTGATGATGAAGTATAGATTATAATAAGAATGAGAGTTTTAAAATAAAACATCATTATTTTAGGAGAAATTTTTAAAACCTCTAGAAACAGGATCAAAAGATGTAAAACAAGAAACACCAACAAAAGACGAAACTGGTCCCAAGGTAGCCGATTGGAGATTTGGGCCAGCACAAATCTGGTATGACATGCTAGAAGTCCCTGAAACTGGAGACGGTTTCAATTATGGCTTTAAAATTAAAGACAACAATGAAGAAGATAAAGAAAATCAACCTAAAGAAGGTGATGTATTTCCAGATGATGCTTTCCTCATGGTCACCCAGTTGCACTGGGAAGATGACGTTGTGTGGGATGGAAATGATATCAAACATAAGGTTTCTGTTTATCTTTTAGTTATAATTTAAAAGTATTTTAACAATTTTATTAGGTCTTGCAGAAATTAAATTCCAAAACCAATGCAGCTGGATGGGTCCCCAGCAGTGGAAATCGAACTGCACAAGCTTTTAGTCAGCCTGGCAAAAGCAATTTACCAGGAAATTCAACTCGCATTGCTCCAACGTCAACACCCCCATTGCCCAGTCAGAAATCTAAAGGACAGATGTAAGACATTCCAACACATTTATATTATTACAATTATGAAAGTTATCAATTTTTAGGACATTAGCTATCCAGAAACAAAGAGAACAAGAACAAGATGATACCTGGTATTCAATTTTTCCAGTAGAAAATGAAGATCTTGTTTACGGACGATGGGAAGATGAAGTAATATGGGATGCAGAAAGTATGAAACAAATTCCAAAACCAAGCATTTTAACCTTGGATCCTAACGATGAAAATATTATTTTGGGAATACCAGACGATATTGATCCATCAAAACAAGTTGCAGGTATCTAATAATACATAACTAAAAAATTTTTTAAATTTAATTGTCTATTTGCCTTTTTTCAGGACAGGCAACTCCAGTAAAAGTCAAAATACCTCATCCTCATGTTAAAAAATCTAAAATATTACTAGGAAAAGCTGGTGTTATAAATGTATTGCAGGAGGATACTCCACCTCCTCCACCTAAATCTCCAGATAGAGATCCATTTAATATTTCCAACGATGTGTATGTATTTATATTTTTTTATATAACCAATATGTGTATGGTTTATTGAAATTCTCGAGTTGCTGTTACTCGTTTATTACAGTTATTATCAGCCTCGGTCATCAGAAACAATATTGCGCTTAAAAGTAGGTGGTGGCAATTTGATTCAACATTCCACACCAATAGTCGAGCTGAGAGCGCCATTTATTCAAACTCATATGGGTCCAATGCGTTTGCGCAACTTTCATAGGCCGCCCTTAAAAAGGTTTTCGTTTGGACCACTTAGCGATCCTGGTCCTCATCCAGTTCTGCCTCTTGTCAAATATATAAAAAAAAAAGCTAAAGTAAAATCGTAATATTGTAATGTTCATTTGATGTATAATTTAAATTAATTTCTTTTAGCAACGAGAAGCGGAAAGAATGGCATCGGGTGGAGGTGACGTTTTCTTTATGCGCACTCCTGAAGACTTAACAGGAAGAGACGGGGATTTAGTATTTGTCGAATTTTGTGAAGAGCATCCACCTCTAATGAATCAGGTAATAATAATAATTTAACTACTACATTATTAATATAAACAAACAGCATATTGCTACCGAAAATATAACATGTAACAAATACTATTAATTGTCATAATAAATCACAAAACAGCAAATTTTGGTATCACCTTAAATCTTCCAAAAATCTTTAATCTACTGCTATTTAAAATTTAGGGCGTGGTTCAAGGAAGTTACCGTAAAATTTATAGCATAAAATCTTCCCCCTTCATACTAAAGTTACCATATCCGAGTATTTTCACATAACTTCTTTAAGAATCAAAAAAATAGGTCCGTTTCGTTTTCGTTGGCGCACTCTATATGTATTAATAAATTTTAGTAATTAGGTTTCAAAAGCATGTGTTGAATTTTTGTCAGTTCTGCAGCTCTGGAGTAGCTATACATCAGTCACTCCTGTTTACATTTCCTTATTTAAATTGTAAATTCCATTAATGTGTAAATTTATCTTAAATGTCTAATTCTTTTAATTGTACATATAACTGCCTGTTGCTCTTTATGCAAGATAAATATCACTCTTCTATCTCTGTAACTCATCCCTACATTTTTAAGTACATTTAGCATCTTGTCCCATTTAACATTGACAAAAGCTTTTTCTAAATCTACGAATGCTATGTACGCACTCTTTCTTTTTTCTATCGTTTTGTCTATTATTCTTCGTAAAGCTAGAATTGCCTAACGCGTTTCTGTATTTTTCTAAACCCAAATTGATCTTTCTTTAATGGTTTTTCCGCCCTTTTTCCCATCCTCTGCACAATTCTAGTTAAAATTTTTGACGCATGGGAAGTTAAACTAATTGTTCTAAATGTCTCGCACCTATCCTCGCCTCTCTTTTTAGGCATGGTTACTATAACGTTCCGTTTATAATCCTCTAGTAGCCTCTAACCTCTTGTCGTCCTACATGTTTTGGAATTTCCGGCTATACCCCATCTACGTCTGGTTTCTTATTATTCTTGATATATTTTAACGCTACATTAAACTCTTCTCTCATTATGGGATCACCTAGCTCACCTATCCCCACACTATCTTCCTCATCTCCTGACTCATGACCTGTGTATAGGTTCTCTAAGTATTCTTTCAATCTATCTGCCTTTTCTTCATTTTCTATCAAATGAGTCCTGCTTGGTTTCTTATATTATTACTACTGTACCCTACGTCTGTAAAATACCTTTTAATTATGTTATAAGACTCATCCGTTTTACGTACTTCAAACTTTTATTCTACCTCTTTACACCTCATATCAATCCCTAATTATTTCTCATTTTATCGCTTCATATCTTTTTTGTCCTTCTTCGTCTGTCTTCTTTTTCTGTTTCTTCTATCGGTCCTACAATCTCGTTTGTTGTCCAGGGTTTCCCTACTTTTGTTTTGTTTAAACCCTAATACATTTGTAGCTGTAGAGCACGTTTTAGTGCAGTTCCATTCTGTCTCTATGTCCCTCTCATTCGTTTCTCCCACCTCCCTAAGTATTTCGTCTGTCCTTGTACCTAGCCGATCACGCGTTTCGTTACATTTTAGCTTTTCTATATCAAGACGTCTTCTACCTTCCCACTTTTTCAAAATTTTCAAGTCAAGATTGGTCTTCATAACTACTACGTTACGATCGCTATCTCTGTCTGCTCCTGGATAAGTCCTACAGTCCTTCACTTGGTTTTTAAATCTTTGCCTAACAAGTATGTAATGTAACTAATATGTCTCAACCACCTGGTATTTTCCACATACAGCGCCTCCCAACGTAAAGGTTGAATGTAGTATTCGCGATGGTTAAGTTATGTTTATCGTAAAATCGAGATCAGTCTATCTCCCCTCTCATTTCTACTGTCTAATCCAAATGAACGTGTTATTGCACCGTCCTTTCCTTTACCTTTTACTGCGTTGAGTCCTCCTACAACTATCAGATTTCCCTGTCCCTTCACTAAACTTAACACGTCTTCTATATCTCCATATACCGCTTTTACGTCTTCATCATTGTAAGATGAAGTATAATTCCCATTATATTACTATCTTAAATATTTATTTTCATCATGATTCTCATTTAGGTTGGAATGTGTTCTAAAGTAAAAAATTACTATAAACGCAAAGCTGGAAAGGACACGGGACCGTCACAGTTTAAGTACGGAGAAGTAGCATATGCTCACACTTCACCGTTTTTGGGAATTCTTCACCCAGGACAGTCAATACAAGCAATTGAAAACAACATGTACAGGTCTGAACATTTTATTTTAAACTTTTTCTTTACACCTATACCGTTTTTATTTGTATATATTTTAGAGCTCCAATTTACGAGCATCAAGTTCCACAAACTGATTTTCTCATTATAAGAACGCGTCAGCAATATTACGTCCGAGAAGTCGACGCACTTTTTGTTGCCGGTCAACAGTGTCCGCTATACGAAGTACCAGGTCCCAATTCAAAACGAGCTAACAATTTCGTTAGAGATTTTTTACAGGTAAAGTGAGAAACAATGCGATATTTAAAAAAAAAGCTAACGTATTTATTATTGCTCTCTTTAGGTATTTATATACAGATTGTTTTGGAAAAGTGCAGATGTTCCCGGAAGAATTAAGATGGATGACATCAAAAAAGCATTTCCTTCTCATTCTGAGAGTAGCATAAGAAAGAGACTAAAGTTATGTGCTGATTTTAAGAGAACAGGTAAATGACTATTTCCCAAAAACGTATCTTCTTCCTACATGTAATTTTTATTTTATATTAACTACATTGTTTTGATAACAGCACTTACGAATAATGTTTAAAACCATATTTATTTTCAGGAATGGATTCTAATTGGTGGGTTATAAAGCCGGATTTCAGATTACCATCTGAAGAAGAAATTCGAGCAATGGTTTCCCCAGAACAATGTTGTGCTTATTTCAGCATGATAGCGGCAGAGCAAAGACTGAAGGTAATTCTAGCATTGATAAAAATTCCAATTTCTACCAAGTAATTTCTCATTTAAGGACGCGGGATACGGTGAAAAATTCCTCTTCACGCCAGCAGAGGATGATGATGAAGAAATGCAGTTAAAGATGGACGATGAAATAAAAGTAGCCCCCTGGAACACCACTAGGGCTTATATTCAAGCCATGAAAGGAAAGTGCCTACTTCAATTAACAGGTCCTGCCGATCCGACTGGCTGCGGCGAAGGATTTAGTTATGTTAGGGTGCCAAATAAACCCACTGTACGTACATATTAAATTTTTTTTTCTCATATGTCTAAATAAAATTAAAGTTAGGCCTGTTAACTATTCTTCTTAAATCAACGGATAAAATTGAGATTTACTAGAATAATAAACGTCTTAGAAGAAGCAAAGCACTAGGTAATGTATCTCTATGTATTTTAGTACGAAATCATCTATTGTCATCTATTTAGTTATACTTTTGGTGTACATTATTTTGTTGAAGTAATAACTTCTTTAAGCGCGTTTATTGGTAAGGAGTGTTTACTCTATCAGTATAGCATTTCAACATAATACGCGTGTCTTATGGTGGCAATGAAGAAGTCCAATCGAAGTAATATTCCTCAATATAATTAATTGACAAATACAATTGTTTATTTTATATAATATCAATATTATCATGTTGATTGGAAAATAAATTTTCAATTCTATCGTGTGGTCGTAAGCACACACCCATTTTGTTTTTCATGAATTTATTATTATTACTTTATTACTATAAATTTTATATCACATGGTACTTAATACAGGTCTTACACAGGTAGTGTATCTCGACGGAAATATTGATTCTAATGCTGTTGAATTACGTTTTGTATGCTATTGGGACACCTACTAGTAAATAATTAAAAAGTTAAAATAATTATTACAGCAAAGTAAAGAAGAGCAGGAGTCGCAGCCTAAGAGGACAGTAACAGGAACTGATGCTGATTTACGAAGATTGTCCTTAAATAATGCCAAGGCATTACTAAGAAAATTTGGCGTCCCCGAAGAAGAAGTAAGCTAAAATCAAAGATGTTCAATATCAATTAAAAAATGAATTTCAATGTTAGATCAAAAAATTGTCTCGTTGGGAAGTTATCGATGTGGTGCGAACTTTGTCAACTGAAAAAGCGAAAGCCGGAGAAGAAGGTATGGATAAATTTTCAAGAGGAAATAGATTCTCTATTGCGGAACATCAAGAACGATATAAAGAAGAGTGCCAACGTATATTCGACTTACAAAATCGAGTCCTGAGCAGCAATGAAGTACTGAGTACAGATGAAGGCGAAAGTTCAGACGAGGATAGTGACGAAGATATTGAAGAAATGGGAAAAAATATTGAGAATATGTTGGCAAATAAAAAGACCAGTACACAGGTATCAATTACTAGTCAAATTTAAATTATTCTGCTGAATATATTTATAAACATTAAAAAAAGCAAACCTCAAATTTAAACCAATAATTGAGTAACAATATATACATACATAACAGAATGGAACTCTTCAGAAGATTATTTTTACCTTCTGTTGTCATAATAAATATAAATACTTACATTGAAGCTTAGTTGTGTTTATCTGTATCTTTTTATTGTTAATAGTTGTCATTAGAAAGAGAAGAACAAGAACGCCAGGAATTAAGAAAAATGATAATGGAAGGCAGCGAAAACGAGAAAAAGAACAAAGATAAGAAAAAAGAAGATGATGATGGTCAAGATCAATCACAATTTCCACAGCAAGGTAAAATAATAATTAGGGAATATGTTAAGTAACTAAATAAAAACAAGCGTGTCGGAATAATATACTTTCTACGTTCAAAAGAACCATGTAAATTAAATAATCATTATAAAATATAAGCCCAAAATGCAGTAATTTGCAATAAAAAAATAAGAAAGTCTACATATATAATTTGTTATTTCAGGTCGCGTTTTAAAAATTATACGTACATTTAGAGACCAAGAAGGTAAAGAGTATACACGAGTTGAAACTGTACGTAAATCTGCGGTCATTGACGCCTATGTAAAAATTCGTACCACTAAGGACGAACAGTTTATAAGGCAATTCGCCACTTTAGACGAAGCGCAAAAAGAAGAGATGAAACGGGAAAAGAGGCGTATTCAGGAACAACTACGACGAATTAAAAGGAACCAGGAAAGAGAAAGACTGGCTATGAACCAAAGTCATAATCAACAACAGCAACCGCAACCCACTCCCGCAGCGTCGACTTTTGAAACAAGCAAAACAACATTGGAAGGTAAGTTTTATACGTACGTGTGGTCTTTAATTTAACAATATTTGCCACTTAAATCCCAAGAATAAGTGTAAAACCCTTTAGAAACTTAGTAATAACAGAAAAAGTCCATTGCCACGTAATCATAAATAATTATATTCAATTCACTCATAACTGATCTCTAAATACATACAAGTATGATATGATAAGAAATCTTTCAATATAAGCGTAGGTAAAATTTTCAAACAAGTAAACTAATATATAGTCGCGATGGCAAGTCTGGTCTTCATCATTGCTAAATTATTTGCGCATACACTAATAAGCTATATAAGGTTATAAGGATAAGCAATAGAGACACAAAAAATCTGGATGGAGAAAGGAATAAGGCAAGGATGTAAATTAAATGCCCAACTCTATAATATGTACTTAAGTGGCTTAGAATTAGAAATAAGTATATAAAATGGGTACAGAAAAACACTAGATTATGTTATTAGAAGTGAAAAAAAAATATGGAAATAGTAGAGAAAGCTAGAAAAAGATTAGTTAAATTATTGAAATGATAAGAGGTAAGGGTCTAAGGAATATTGATAAATCAAGATATGTAAGATGCATAAAGGCTTGGGAGCATTTATGAGGAGATTGTGTGCCAGTACATATATCTGAAAGGAATAAAAGGGATGGATGTGATAGTAAGGTTTAGAATGGGAAATAAATGTAGTGAATAGTATTGGGAGAAGGAGAATGATGTACAAAACGTGGAGTGGGACTGAAAACATTGCTGCATGTTGCTCCAAATTGTGATGAAAGTAAGGATTGTGATGAGTGTGGTAAGATCCAATTGAAAAATATATGTGAGAAAACGGAATTGTTTAATTTCGTTCCTTTATTTTGATTATTCTGTTTTCTTCATTGATTGACTGAATAAAACTAAATAAAATTAATTAAACGTTAGGTATTAGAGTTGTTGTTTCATAACCTACTAATACTATTAAAAAAAACTGCGGCTAAATCGATAAAACTGTTTTCAAATGTATCGACGTTTATGGCTTCCATAAGAAAATCTGAAGTGGGTGTTTGTAGGCTTAAACTAAAAGAATAAATATTCTGCTTGTATTAATGAAATATACAAATGCTTCAGATGTAAGAAGTTCAACAAGCACACCTACTACTCAGCCAGCAACAAGTAAACCTGCTACTACAACACCTCCAAAATATCGAAGAAAAACGAAGTTAAAACCTGACCTTAAATTAAAATGTGGAGCTTGTGGTAATGTAGGTCATATGAGGTAATTCTATTAAACATTATTTTATGTCAAAGTTAACAGTTATATAACTTTTATTTCGCGTGCTTTTTTATGTAGAACGAATAAGGCATGCCCACTATATCAAAATTCCGGCACAGCACCTCCAGTCAACGTTGCTTTAACTGAAGAACAAGAAGAAGAAATAGAAAAACAACTTAACACGGATGATGAAGACTTAGTTAATGTTGATGGTACAAAAGTTAAACTGTCAGGAAAACTTCTGAAGGTACTTGCGTTTTTTTTTATACCACGAATATATAAAATAACGGTATTTTTTGACAGCATGCTGAAGAGATGAAACGTCGAACTTTATTATTAAAGGTACCAAAGGATGCTATGAGTTCTCGTAAACGCAGAAGAGGAAATTCTGATTTGCACTGCGATTACTTAAAGAAGCATAACCGACCAGCAAATCGTCGTAGAACAGATCCAGTGGTTGTTCTTTCTACTATTCTCGAATCAATTTTGAATGAACTTAGAGATATGCCAGATGTTCAACCTTTTCTGTTTCCCGTCAATTCAAAGGTAAGGTGTTTATAAAAATTTGATGTTTTTTTTTTCGTTAAATTGTCTGTCTGTCTGTCTGTACGAGCTAGTCTTCGATGCGGTAAAAGTCTGAACTAATTTCTGTAGGACTTTAAACGTGAAGAGGAGGTTGTCAGTTATTTCGATATTACAGATAGACACTCCAATTTTATTTAGCCCCGTTTCTCCCAGTTTGATTTACAAATGTTGGTATTTCGAACTGAAAGCGTATTTTTAATAAAAATGAAATATATCCTATATTACTCAGGGATACTTACTTACTTCTATAAATCGAAAAATTTTTAGACAAACAAAAACCCTTTACCTCTTTTATGCAACAATGATTTGAGATACAAATTCATTCACATAAATATGAATTTTATAAATATTGTCTCGCTATTCAGTGAGTTCACATCCTACTTAATACAAACATTTTCCTGCGTCTACAAATTACTGATTTTACTGTTTCTAATGGTTGGATTGATGATTTTAAAATTCGTTTTTGGTATTGTCAAATTGGTGGAGAGTTATAATCTGTATTTGACTTACATAAAAATATATAGGTGGGAATACTTCGTCTAATCCCATTTATTATTAATTATTATATACTCAGCATAATACCATACTTCAATAATTCATTTTGTATCATTTTTGCAATTCTCAACAGTTCATTAAATAATTCAATATTGGGAAAAATAGAGTTTAACCAAACAAGATAACAAATAATAAGAAATTATTATTATTAAAAATGAAATAAGTAGTTGTTATGGTCAGTTTATGTTGCATTCATATGGAATTTAATTTTAGGATGTATTTTCGGGTTTGTCAAGAGGCGTTTATCAAACCTAAAATTTACCAGTCTTCCGCGAAGCGCCTGTATTTTGACCTCTGACTATAAAGTTAATAATAAATTATTAAATTTACAGCAAGTGATCGATTATTACAATATAATTCAACGTCCTATGGATCTTCAAACAATAAGAGAGAATCTACGTCAAAAAAAATATCAAAGTAGAGAAGAATTTCTTGCAGACATTAATCAAATTGTCGAAAATTCCAGCCTTTACAATGGTTTGTATTACGTACACTACGTTGAATAGAATTTATGCACTAAATTGTACGTTGTACATTTTAGGACCGAAGAGTAGTCTTACAGTAGCGGCACAACGGATGCTTAATAAATGTATCGAGCGCCTAGGAGAAAAAGAAGAAAGATTAATGCGCTTAGAAAAAGCTATTAATCCTCTTNAACTCTATAATATGTACTTAAGTGGCTTAGAATTAGAAATAAGTATATAAAATGGGTACAGAAAAACACTAGATTATGTTATTAGAAGTGAAAAAAAAATATGGAAATAGTAGAGAAAGCTAGAAAAAGATTAGTTAAATTATTGAAATGATAAGAGGTAAGGGTCTAAGGAATATTGATAAATCAAGATATGTAAGATGCATAAAGGCTTGGGAGCATTTATGAGGAGATTGTGTGCCAGTACATATATCTGAAAGGAATAAAAGGGATGGATGTGATAGTAAGGTTTAGAATGGGAAATAAATGTAGTGAATAGTATTGGGAGAAGGAGAATGATGTACAAAACGTGGAGTGGGACTGAAAACATTGCTGCATGTTGCTCCAAATTGTGATGAAAGTAAGGATTGTGATGAGTGTGGTAAGATCCAATTGAAAAATATATGTGAGAAAACGGAATTGTTTAATTTCGTTCCTTTATTTTGATTATTCTGTTTTCTTCATTGATTGACTGAATAAAACTAAATAAAATTAATTAAACGTTAGGTATTAGAGTTGTTGTTTCATAACCTACTAATACTATTAAAAAAAACTGCGGCTAAATCGATAAAACTGTTTTCAAATGTATCGACGTTTATGGCTTCCATAAGAAAATCTGAAGTGGGTGTTTGTAGGCTTAAACTAAAAGAATAAATATTCTGCTTGTATTAATGAAATATACAAATGCTTCAGATGTAAGAAGTTCAACAAGCACACCTACTACTCAGCCAGCAACAAGTAAACCTGCTACTACAACACCTCCAAAATATCGAAGAAAAACGAAGTTAAAACCTGACCTTAAATTAAAATGTGGAGCTTGTGGTAATGTAGGTCATATGAGGTAATTCTATTAAACATTATTTTATGTCAAAGTTAACAGTTATATAACTTTTATTTCGCGTGCTTTTTTATGTAGAACGAATAAGGCATGCCCACTATATCAAAATTCCGGCACAGCACCTCCAGTCAACGTTGCTTTAACTGAAGAACAAGAAGAAGAAATAGAAAAACAACTTAACACGGATGATGAAGACTTAGTTAATGTTGATGGTACAAAAGTTAAACTGTCAGGAAAACTTCTGAAGGTACTTGCGTTTTTTTTTATACCACGAATATATAAAATAACGGTATTTTTTGACAGCATGCTGAAGAGATGAAACGTCGAACTTTATTATTAAAGGTACCAAAGGATGCTATGAGTTCTCGTAAACGCAGAAGAGGAAATTCTGATTTGCACTGCGATTACTTAAAGAAGCATAACCGACCAGCAAATCGTCGTAGAACAGATCCAGTGGTTGTTCTTTCTACTATTCTCGAATCAATTTTGAATGAACTTAGAGATATGCCAGATGTTCAACCTTTTCTGTTTCCCGTCAATTCAAAGGTAAGGTGTTTATAAAAATTTGATGTTTTTTTTTTCGTTAAATTGTCTGTCTGTCTGTCTGTACGAGCTAGTCTTCGATGCGGTAAAAGTCTGAACTAATTTCTGTAGGACTTTAAACGTGAAGAGGAGGTTGTCAGTTATTTCGATATTACAGATAGACACTCCAATTTTATTTAGCCCCGTTTCTCCCAGTTTGATTTACAAATGTTGGTATTTCGAACTGAAAGCGTATTTTTAATAAAAATGAAATATATCCTATATTACTCAGGGATACTTACTTACTTCTATAAATCGAAAAATTTTTAGACAAACAAAAACCTTTACCTCTTTTATGCAACAATGATTTGAGATACAAATTCATTCACATAAATATGAATTTTATAAATATTGTCTCGCTATTCAGTGAGTTCACATCCTACTTAATACAAACATTTTCCTGCGTCTACAAATTACTGATTTTACTGTTTCTAATGGTTGGATTGATGATTTTAAAATTCGTTTTTGGTATTGTCAAATTGGTGGAGAGTTATAATCTGTATTTGACTTACATAAAAATATATAGGTGGGAATACTTCGTCTAATCCCATTTATTATTAATTATTATATACTCAGCATAATACCATACTTCAATAATTCATTTTGTATCATTTTTGCAATTCTCAACAGTTCATTAAATAATTCAATATTGGGAAAAATAGAGTTTAACCAAACAAGATAACAAATAATAAGAAATTATTATTATTAAAAATGAAATAAGTAGTTGTTATGGTCAGTTTATGTTGCATTCATATGGAATTTAATTTTAGGATGTATTTTCGGGTTTGTCAAGAGGCGTTTATCAAACCTAAAATTTACCAGTCTTCCGCGAAGCGCCTGTATTTTGACCTCTGACTATAAAGTTAATAATAAATTATTAAATTTACAGCAAGTGATCGATTATTACAATATAATTCAACGTCCTATGGATCTTCAAACAATAAGAGAGAATCTACGTCAAAAAAAATATCAAAGTAGAGAAGAATTTCTTGCAGACATTAATCAAATTGTCGAAAATTCCAGCCTTTACAATGGTTTGTATTACGTACACTACGTTGAATAGAATTTATGCACTAAATTGTACGTTGTACATTTTAGGACCGAAGAGTAGTCTTACAGTAGCGGCACAACGGATGCTTAATAAATGTATCGAGCGCCTAGGAGAAAAAGAAGAAAGATTAATGCGCTTAGAAAAAGCTATTAATCCTCTTCTCGATGATAACGATCAAGTTGCTCTGACATTTATTTTGGATAACGTTATCAATACCAAACTGAAGACAATGTCGGAATCCTGGCCTTTCCTCAAACCAGTAAACAAAAAAATGGTCAAAGACTATTACAACATCATCAAAAGACCAATTGATTTAGAAACAATATCCAAAAAAGTTGCTGGTAAGTTACAACAACAGCCTAGTCGTCACATCGGAGGGCGAAAGTCACGATTACAAACAGCCTTGTGAAGGAACACATGCAAAGAACAACTTGGGCATTCACACATTAATATTTATATATATATATATAATAATATTTCAAATCAGGGCACCCTTACTGACCACAACGACAATAACGTAACATTCAAGAGGTGTATAATATTAAAAAGAAACCAATGAAAAGTTAATAAACACATTAAGAAGAAAAAGTAAGGTGTACAATTGGGCGGGAATATAACGCGGACCCCGCCCATTTGTCAGCCGAGCATCCATAATATCTTAGAGGATATAGTATGTAGCATCGACGTTTACTAATGGACATGCCTTAGCGGTCAGAATTGTGGTACAACAAAAAAAAGAGAAGGAATGAAGTTTCGGATAATATCCATCTCTCTCACAATAGTGCGTAAGCGTGTCATGAAAGAGATAACACTAGTCGGAAACCATACGCCATCTCCCTCACTTTCCGAGCCAAGAAATTATTACAACGACATACGGCTAAGGCACGTCCATTAATATATGTCTGTGGTATGTAGAGCAGCGGTTCCCAATTCTTTTTTTCTATGGAACTTTATCAACCCACCATTTTTTGGTAGAATCCCATCTCGACAAAAAATTAAACTGAGACAATAAGCAGTTTTATGTCTATTTCTCGTCATGCAGTAATTCTACATGATATGATAATAAATGAATCAAACTGCTTTGCGTACTACAACACGCTTCTGTAGTACAAGTTGCTGCCTTCATGTGGCAATGTATTTAGAATAGGAACGAGCACTCGATTTAATATAGAAACATATATTCCTCTAAGCATACCACTCAGTCATTGATACAGAACAGCTTAGCAAATTTAGTTTGCGTTCGACAATATCCGTGACTCCTTCGGTGTGACGGTTAGACTCTTGTGTTTTATATGGAAGCAATATTACGAAGTTTTCTGCAAATCTCTCTCAATTATTAATAATATTTTAAAAAGACAAAATAATAATATTTTAATAATTGTATCATTAATTAATGTATTGCTTTTATGTAGCGCATAAATATCACAGCAGACAAGAGTTTTTGAATGATGTCCAGCAAATTTTGGAGAACTGTGTATTATACAATGGCAAAGAATCAGTTTTCACACAGAAAGCAGAAGTATTAGTAAAAGTTTGCAAAGCAACCTTAGATGAGGTAATTTTTGAATTACTTAAAACAATTTTTGTTATTTAAAAATTTATTGTCTAGATTTAGGTTACATAAAATACAATCTCAAGGATCATATCCTGTCGGAGATAATACAAAACCAGAAAATTAAACAATGAATTACTTTACAAATTGGATAATCATTGTATTCATTAGTTTCTACCTTTTTCTATTCGTAACGCTGTTTTCTTTGGATTGGATCGTCTTTATTTCCTTAAATTGTGCATATATTTCCTTTTTTCCGTCCTTCTGGGAATCCGCCTTTCCATGCTTTGTTCATGATGTCCTGTTTGTTCTATATCTTGTCATTTGCATATTTCACGCTTCGTTTTTTATATACTTTCTGCTGTTTTCTTCTGTTTAATTAAGTATTAAGCAGTATTTATCTCCTCTTACGTCATTTCTCCATCTGCTTCCTCTGAGTTCTTCCTCATTTCCTTCTTCATCCTTTTTGTTGAATAGTTTTGTTTCTTGACCTCCTAATAACTTAATAAATTGTTATCTTCTTTTTTTCTATTTTTATATTGTCTGTTATGTTCGCATATAGTTAAGGATGAGGGATGTTCTAGTTTTAGGGAAATGCGAAGATTAGATCAGGATGGGAAGGAGTGGAGGTGCGTGTCCAACCAGTCTTCAGACTAACGACCTTATGATGATATTATGTTTGGTTCTGTGTCTCTCTCTCTTTCACATAACTTTTTGTGTGTCATGTCCCACTATTATATCCTTCTTGGATTTTTCTTATTTACTTTTATTTTCTTTTTGTCTTTGATTTTTACTAGTATAACTTTCCTTTTGAATGTATTTTTCTGACAGTTCTATTTTTTCGATTTCCTCTTTGTATTTCTGCATTTGTTCTTCATTCCAATTTTTCATTGCTACTTCTTTTTCTTAATTTCCTTCATTGTCTTAATTTCTATTTCTAATGTGCAGTGATGTGACTATTTTGGAATTGGAAATTTTATGACCTTGTTCCATTCGTTTATGTTCGTTATTTCATAGTGTATCAGTGAAGATTTGTTGTCACATATGAGTGTATGCTTTCCCTTGCAGTCTCTTTGCTTGTCTCCATTTATTATCCCCAGTTCCATATTTTCTAAATATTGAATTAAATTTTCTCCCTGTTTATTCATTCCCTTGTCTTTCGATTTTCTTACTCCCATTATTTCTTCAAGTTCTTTATTGCAATTAATTAGTTTTAAGTTTTTGTTATTTCTGTCAGTATGTAAAATAACACCCTGTATAATAGGGAATAGTAAGGGCCCACGAATACTTTCTCGTAGAACGCCATTATTTTTTTTGCTTTTCACTTAATATAGTATTCAATTAATTTACTTTAATACGATTCAATTTTTTTACAAATAATTATACTACTTTTTTAATTTAGTATGATGAACATCTCACTCAGTTGGAAAGCAAAATTTCTTTAACCCAAGAAAGGGCATTACAAGAAGATGATAATACGTGGATGGGAGGAGATGATGAAAACTATACCATTGCTGAACCAGATAGAACTGTAAGAGTTTTTACTAATAAAGGCGTGAATTATTTTAAAACAAAATTTTCATTTTAGAGTCAAGCAAGTTCACCAGAGAATATGTTTATTACAAAAAGTCATGTGGAAGATTATGATTATGTAGATGTTGAAGGTGTAATGACACCAATGATGGACCCTTCAAGTCCTCCATTGAAAATGCGTAAAATCCGAGGAAGACCCAAGAAAAAAACAACTGCGACTTTGGAAGAAGGTATCTTTTTGATATATAAATATTTCAAATTTAAAAATCATAACCATAGAATGTAGAATTTTTATATGATTTAAAATTAACATAATTGTAAAATATAACGTTATTTCTAGATCTACAATTTTCAAGTGAAGAAGAATTGGATGAAGTACCTTTGCACGAATTTGAATCCGAAAAAAGTGGCATATTAATTTCAGCAGATTTGCCTGAACCAGGAGCAGACAATGATAGTCAACAAGTGGCCGAAGCCATGGTACAGCTTGGGAATATGGGATATTACCCACCAAATGAAGGTGAATTGACCTACTAAAGAATGACAACGTTCAAATTCTGAACCATAAAACCCATAATTAATAAAAAAAGTACATATAAATGTGAAGCTAAGTTTTATTTCATTTTAGAGGAAAGTTTAGATGTGGATCCTAATTATGACCCTTCTGATTTTCTCATGGGAGGATTACCTTTACGGAAAACAGAAGAAGTCAAAATGGAGGAACCAAAGATGGAAGAGGAAGAAAGAGTTGCTAAAATACATGATGACTTAGCGGTTAGTGAAAGTGATGATGAAGGGGCCAATATATCAACATCCATAACGGGACAAGGACAAGATGAAGATGATGCTGGCGATTTATGGTTTTAAATCTTAATTCTCCTTACGTCAATTTTGAATTGCAGCAGTGTGCTACTATTGACTTCGTTTATTTTGGTTGTTTAATTTGTTAAAATCTTTAATTTATTATATATACCGTTTAAAATTATTTAGAATATACGATAATTTAGAACTTATAATTTAGTATTAAAATTAAACGCAAAACAGTAACAAAAAATGTGAACTTGAGTGCGACCGGGAAGTCATACAACTTCCCAGTGGAAACAATAAAAATACCATGTGTTCTATTATCATTACTTTTATTATTGTTACATTATTGCTGTATATTCGTATACTTTTCTTATCATATTTTTTATACGTATGTTCCTAACATACAATAATATTACTCAGCATCAGAAGATGTTTGGATTCTGCATTAATAAATAGTACAATTTATAAATTGCAAAAAACAGCTAGTTTGCCCATTTTTAGTTTTTTTATTTTCCATAAAAAAATATCTGGACCGATTTTGCTGAAAACCTAATTAGTTTTAAGTTGTGATTATAAGTAGAATGCAATTGGTTCCATATCGATATTATTTGTCGTTCTCGAGATACATACAGATCCACATAAATAGGAAGAAGTGTGAATTGTTTCCGTCTATGGATGCATGGTAAACTGATTGCTTATGGAAGCGAGGGAAGCCACTTCTATTCGACTGTTTGACGAGATAACATTCGGGCGCACCACAAATACTCCTGTTGGTTCTTGTTATTTGTGTGTTTTTATCGTTTTTGCTATCGTTATTGGTTTTACTAGTTGTTGTTATTACTATTTGCTTTCTTAACTGCACACGTGGTTTTCTTTTGTTTCGCTACGAGTTGCAATTATTTTTTTATTTTATTTCAAAGCAGTCGACAATTTTGTTACAAATTCATGTGGGTCCTTCTCCATGTTCAGAGGAAACGTGCTAGAAATTTTGCACACTCTACCGTCCTTCTTCCTCCGAATACTTTCTTTGTCTTTCTTCCGCACATAACTGAAACTTTTTCCTATTCTTGTCAAGCTGTACATACCCACAGACATCCACTTAAAAACTGTAGCATTCGATTCTAGGGACCTTCAACGTGGAGATATGTCGAATTTAAAAAAATCACAGAGAATTTTAAAATTGGAATTATTGAAAGGAACGTATTCAATAAAATAACAAGTAAAGACCACTTTTTATTTTTGTATCATAATTACAACATTTTTCAAACAAATTATAAACTATTCTTTTCAGGTTCAGTCGTATAAACTTTATAAATAGTATAAATATCACTTGCGATAGTAGTTGCTTTTGAGCTTCTCTCACAACAAAAACTAAAAATTAATAATTTCCCACTAAACAAAAAACAAAACATTTACAATACTCGTTTCTCTAGGCATTTATTATTAAGTTACACTTAATTCGTCTGCATAATTATTTATTACATACAAAAATATATATATATATATTTAACTTTTATCGTTATTTGTACAAAGTTATTTCCTAGTTAAATCTTGACTTTAGGCTCTCGATTATTTAAACTTAAACTAGTCTCATCAATCGAATCTAAATCTAAAGCACTTTCAATCATTGTTGTGTCTTGAAGCATACGCAATCGATTAGCTCTTAACAAACTAGTTTCTTTGTCTTTAGCAGCCAACTCGCTTTCCTCACATATAATTGGTTTAATGTTTGAAATATTAACATTATCCTGTATCAATATTGAATCTAAATGAAGATCCTCTAGGTTCGAATTCACTTCAAATTCCTCCTTTTTCGATTCGGAATTGATATTTTGTGAGTAACTTTGTGCCTTATTAATTAATCTATTGGAAGCGTTCGTTACATTACTGTAAACGTGCACCTGACTTAAATTAGGCTGAGAAGCGTAATGTTGATCGACAGGTTTTAATATTGACGGTGCCACGCCCACCGGTGCTTCATTACTTACTAAATGGGTGACGCTCCCAGCGTTACTACCTACAACACAAATAAGTTAAATTTTAGAAAATAGCGATTACAAATGCATGTGAATAATTAAATTTAGGCAAACATTATTTATTGCAGGTTAATTAAATTGTTAAAAGGGCATACTTTAATAAAAAACAAAATTAGTCTAGCGCTAAATTAATATTATAAGTTTTTAATGAAACAAGAGAAAACCAAAAGGAACCCCTTATCCCAAATATGTAAATACAATAAACAATCTAGATTCTCGTATATTATAGCTATAAGAAACCTAATTGCTGCATGCAAAAAATTTTGTTCTAATTTCATGAAATGAATAACCCCTCTTAAACAATGAAGATAGCACTTTAAAAATGGAAAAGAAAGGACACTAATTTTGAATAATAAATTTCGTATATCAAAATCTGATGACAACAAAGACATAATTATGCATCTAAGGATCTAAGCATCAACATTTTAAAAATAAAAATATAATCATGCTGTTAATAAAATAACTGATACAATATCTCTATATACTGCAGAAATAAACTTAATGCTCTAAAAGCTCATTTTTTTGCACTACATTCAAAGGTGCATTTTTAAAAAAGCCACCCCATATTTCTACTTACCCAAACCCAGATTCACTCAATACATCCGTCAACGCAAAGCCGTGGAATAAAAAAAAATTACAAAATACGAAGAAACAAAGTAGTAACATTAGCATAATGTAATTACGACTAGTACAATGCAACGACATGACTCAAAATAACACTATGAAAAATATTTGGTTATAATTATCACAGACACTTATTATAAATACCATTTGAAAAAATTAAAAAATTCATATTCAAACTATAAAACCAATTAACGCCTAAAAACACTAGTAAATTAAATAAACCGTTAACTACAACCAGATCTAAACAACAAAGTTGTTTACTTAAAACAAAATTGGTTTCACATATATAGTAAACGTTTTTAAAATATATTTGGAGAAAGAACAAACATTTTTGGAAAAAGTATGTCAGCTACAATTAATAAATCTCAGCTGAATCTCAACTGATAAAACTACAATTAATTAAATTAGTTTTCATTAGCAGGTGAAATTTGAGCGTGCCCATAGCGCCACGACAATTTAATAAATATGTAAGCCTGTGTACAATGGATTTGTTTATTTGGTTTATGTAATTCAATTGAATAATATTTTAACTTAAATTTCAACTTTCCTTCACACTTTATTCAGGCTTAGGACTGACAGTTTTGTGCAAGTAAAACGGGCGTGTTTAAAAGTATAAAAATTAGAAACCTTCCTCATAATATGTACAGTATTAAGAAACCTAATTTATAAAAATGCGGAAGTTCGGAAGTTGCATTTGAACTCATTCTATTATATAAAGTTACACTATTCTAACTTCTGCGTGTATGCCAATACTCTCAAGCATTTTCCCAGGTCATTATTAACTTTAAATTTTTTTAGAATAATTTTTATTCTTTCATTTATTTTTACTTCAATTCTTCTTTTCTTATGCAAATAACTAATTGTAAGTAAAAATGCTTCACATGATCTTTCTTTACAAATTATGACGAAGTTTTTCAACATCTATAATTTTAAATAGGCCTGTTTTGTTGTCCAGAATAATAATAGAACTAAACTAAGACATAAAGAATGCTAAAGCTTTTGTACATAAGCTTACATATTTATTAAATTGTCGCGGAGTTACGGACACGACACCGTTTCAACACGGGCAGTTCCACATTTATGTGGTGAGTAAAACGGAAACTTGGTGAGTTTGTAAACAAACTAGGTAACGACCATTTTCATAAAATAAGAAAAATGTTTACATATGTTAATCGGTTTCGCTAACATTTCAAATATATTCTGTTTGGTTGTAAATCTTTGTGGATTTTTTACTTTATTATTACTGCTCCGTTCTTGTACGTCATAGCATGACAATATAGAATTTTCGTAATCCTATTAGTTTACGATAGATGGTCGAAACTCTTTTTTAATGAAATATTGTACTTATTTTCAGATATTTGAAATTCTCACTCTTTTCTGATTTCGAAAATATTGTCAGTTGTTCATATAATAATGAAGAAAACTATAAAAAATAAAATAGATCTTAAATTGTACATATTTTATATGTGAAAATAGTAGACATTCAAAAAGTTTTAAATAAACGTAATCACCGACTAAAGCATTTAGTACTGATACTTATTAGCTTATATCATTCTAATATTTATTAAAACTTACGCACTTTAAAAGAAAAAACTAAAATATTTAGAATAAATTTTCGCCATTTATATAATACACAACTGGAATTTGTTTAAAACTTTTGAATATTATTTACGTATATATAAATGTACAGGGTGACCCAAAAAGTACGCAATATGCTCACTGCAGCCAAACTGCAATTTTAATCGAAAAATTTTTCAAACTTGCTCCCTATTTTAATAAAAGATCGTTTATATTATCTAAATTTGATTTATTATACAGAGTGTTCGAAATAGGAAAAAGTAGGTTTAGTTTAAACGACAACCATATGAAATGTGGTTCTAACAGAAAAAAGTTATGAGAAAAAGTTGTTCAGAATGCCAAAATATGGGACTATACAAAAAAATCGCAGCGATATTCAAATATTTTCTTTATTTGAGTCCAATGGATCAAAAAGTTC